GTCCCTCTCCAACTAAGTCAGCTACTTGTAAGGCAGCCTTTCCAGAAGTTCCACATAACATTCTCACTTTTATTTCACTAGTTGCAACTTGGTGATATAGCCAATAAGAAATGTATTCTTTGAATTGGGTATCTGTGTGTGTATGCTCAATTGCTCAGTGGTGTCTGACTGTTTGTGACCCCATGGACTGTAGCCCACCAGGCTTCTCTGTCCATGGGATTCTCCAAGCAAGAATACTGGAGTAGGTAGCCATTTCCTCCTCCAGGGGATCTTCCCAACCCAGGGATGAAATTTCACACGTCTCCTGCATTGCAGGCCAATTTTTTTTTACCACTGAGCCACCAGGGAAGCCCATGGAATTATGAACAAAAGGCTGAGGAATCATAGACCACTAAGGTCCTTAACTCTGGAATCTGCAAAAGGCCTTTTTGAGGAGGAGACAGCTAATTTGGGATTTGAAGGATGAATAGGAATTTGCCAAATGGAGAATTGGGAGAGCATGCCAGGCAGAAACATCAGTGTATGCAAAGGCACGGAGAACTCTGGCATTATTTCTGCCAACTGAGCCTTTTCCTGTATTTCTGTTTATTTTATCTCTATTATTAATGATAGCACCTTTTAAAATTTATTTTTTAATTGAAGGAAAATTGCTTTACAATGTTGTGTTGGTTTATGTCATAATAGTTTAACTAACTTTTAATTAACAGTTATTCAGGATCAACAGATTGAGCTATGTCCACAATGATTTTCCTGATGTAACTGCAATTAATTTTCCACTTGGATCAAAATAAGAACATTTTATCTGATGACAAAGTATTCCACATCTTAAAAATAATTGAGTTAGAATACTTTGGCATCTTAAAAAGGAACTGCTACAGAAAGAAAAAAATATACTATTGTGTCAGAGAGATGTTTGTCTTTTCAATTCTGAAGTTAAACAAAGACCAGTTAGAACTGACTTGGTTCATATCATAGGGTCCATAAACCCACACTGGGAACACTAAGTTTGTGGTCTGGCCAAGTTACCCTTAAATATGTCACCTTCTATTTAGCTATTCCTAATATGACTGTTACTTTGGATCAATGAAGCTGGATTATTCTTTTCTTAAAATGACTGTGGAACCAAAAGAAATCTTTAGTATTAGAGAGAGATTTTCATGATTATCTCCATTCTGGCTCCTTTAGAGATATCAAATCTCATTAAAAATTCTCCAGAGAAAGTAAATCCTTTGAGAAACCTGAAATTTCTTTGAGTACACCTCCTTAGGTTTGAGATACCTGAGAATTTAAGTTCCCATGCCCACTGATCTTCCACAGAGCTGAGTATCTTATAAGATTAAGATTGTCTCTCTTCAACCCCAAACAAGAACACTAGGGTCAATGATCCTTTGATTACTACATAAATTAAGGTTGCCATATTTTCTCAAAGGATTCAACCTTACTAAGGCAATCATGTAATGTAGTCTTCGGATATCTTTTGAGATATAACTGACATAATATTATATTAATTTTAGGCATACAAAATACAAAATATTTGTATATACTGATAAATGTTCACCACAATAAGTTAATATCCATCACCACACATAGTTATAAGTATTTTTTCTTATGATGAGAACTTTTAAGATTGACTCTCTTAGAAGCTTTCAAATATATGATGCAATATTATTAATTATAGTCATCATACTGTACATTGCATCCCTATGACTTATTTATTTTATATCTAGAAGTTTGCACCTTTTGATCACCTTCACCCATTTCACCTAGCCTCAACCTCCACCACTGGCAACTCCCAATCTAGCCTCCATATCTATGAGTTGCTTCTTCATTTGTTTGTTTGTTTTTGGATCCCATGTGTACGTGAGGTCATATGATACTACCTTTCTCTGTCTGCTTTATTTAAGGTGATGCCCTAAGGTCCATTCATATTGTTGCAAATAACAGATTTCCTTCTTTTCAGGTAGATATCCATTCATCTGTCAACTGGCACTTAGATTAGTTTCACGTCTTGGCTGTTGTAAATAGTGCTGTGATGAAAAACGGGATGCAGATATCTTTTCAAGACAGCAATTTTGTTGCTTTTGGATAAATATCCAGAAGTGAAATTGCTGGTTCATATGACAGAACTATTTTTAATTTTTTGAGGAACCTCCATACTGTTTTCCATAGGGGCTACAAGAATTTACATTCTCACCAGCAGTGCATGAGGGTTCCCTTTTCCTCCCCAAGACTTATTTATTGTGTTTTTGATAGGTATGAGATGTTATCTTATTTTGCCCTTGCTATGCGAATATTGTTGAGCATCGTTTCATGTGTTTTTTGCACACCTAGATATCTTCTTTGGAAAACTGCCTATTCAGATCCTCTGTTCATTTTTTCATTTGGTTGTTTGGTTTATTCTCTGTTGAGTTGCATGAGTTCTTTTATATTCTTGATATTAACCCTTTATCAGATACATGATTTACAGTTATTTTCTCCCATTCAATGGGAGAAAATGGGTTACCTTTTCATTCTGCTAATTGCTTCCTTTGTTGTGCATAAAATTTTTAGTTTGATGTAGCGCCCCCCCACCCCTGTTTATTTTTATTTCTGTTGTCTTTGCTTTAGGTGTCAAATCCAGTCTTGATTTTTTTTTTTTGTGCCAACTTTGATTTTTGCATATTTTTTTATTTAGCTAGTATGTAGGCATAATGAAAAGGTACAGTAAGCCTTATGGCAACACCTCCCCTTTGTCTAGTTAACTCTGACTCATTCAGTTCTCAGATCAAAAGACTTTTCCTCAGGAAAATCTTCTCTAGCCTTTGTTTCCTTGTTGTCCTGTTTTTGTTTTTGTGGAGCTTACAGGATCTTACTTCCCCAGCCAGGATTGAATCCAGGTCCATGGACTTGAAAATCTGTGTCCTAACCACTGGACTGCCAGAGAATTCCTACTCTGGCCTTTCTAAACAGATCAAGTTATCCATAGTTTATGCTCTCATAGTATCCTATTATCTGTGTCTTATAGATTTCATCATAATTATCACTCTGCCTTTACATTCTGCATGTGTGTGTTGATTTGCATAATATCTGCCTCTATCACTAAACTTTAAGTCCCATGAGGGTGGATCCATATGTCCTTGAACTCACCACTGGGTTTTGCTCCCAGAACAGTGCCTGGCTCATAACAGAACTTCAGTCACTATTGGCTGAATGGTTGAATAATTTTTATGTCTTTGTAAATAAGTTACTTCTGCACTCCATTTCACACTGTGCTTGAAATATAAGAATCAAGGCAGAGTTGCTCTGCTCCTATGTGGGTTCATTTACAGATAAGAATTTTGAAAATAATTTCACTGCATTTATAGGAAAGCACATCAAAGAAGTCTTAAGCTGGGCTTTACATGCTGGGCTTTACATGGATGAAGTTGGCATAAATTCTAAAATGGCCTCACTGTAGCTTCTGAACATATTGAGGCCAATTGCAGCTTGACCACAGTGAACATTCCAAAGATGGAACCAACTCCTTCACTCCCCACTTAAGAACTGGGCACTACATTTTCCTGACATCTTTACATTTCAAAACTGATAGAATTGCTAAAGGAGTTGTTGTTTTATTATCTATTTTTAAAGATGTCTGTATGATTTTAGGGAAGAGGTGCACATAACTACATTTTTAAAATGTAGCACATAGACAGCACAGTATTACATAGTTGTGCTTTTCAAGCCTTTGCCTAAACATATGTTTGCAATTGTTAGTTGGAGGTACAAAAAAATAAAAATCAATCCTCAAAGAAAGTTCATGCTAACAACCAAACTTTGGAAAGACAGGATGGATTGTGGGGACATTGTGGAGATAAGCTCCTTCAAATGTCTCTACAGTTCTTATCTTATTTAGCCCATGACAGTAGTTGAAGTATTTAGAAGTAGGATAAGTCTTTTGATATTAGATTTCACTAGAACTGTCGAGATACAACTGCTGTGGTTTAGTTTGGATTTGATTTTTTTTTAACTTGAACATTGCAAAGAAAAGATTAAGAATACAAATGAGTTTGCCCACATAGTGATGAAGACTTGTGACTTTAAGCCTAATTTAGACAAAGCACAAATGTTTTATTAGATGCATTTAGAACTCGGCTGCTTATTAGCTGAGTGACCTTGATAAGATTCATGACCTCACCTATAAAACAGGGATACCTTACCTGATTGTCTTGAGAATGAATGAGATGTGTGTCTTGTGCCTGATACAGGACAGGGCCAGGCAACAGCAGGCACTCACTGTGGGCTATCTCTGCTGCCCTTTGGGTCAACCCTTGTCTTCCACCACATGCATGCACGCCAGCCTTGTTTCTGTCGGCTGATTCTGTGCTTCTGTTCTGTTTTCTTAGTTGAAGTGCTAGCTAGAAAAGGGAGTATGTTTAATTATCAGTTAGCAAACACTTATTGAAGTCCTATAATTTGCCAAGCACTGTTCTAGTTGCTTGGAAAACCTCAATGAAGCCAAGATACAGAACCCCACCTCTGTGCATCTTACATTCTAAGGAACTTATAGACTAACATAGAGATTATTCACAACATTTTACCTGCTACAGTTATCTCACAGTTGCATTTTTTTTGTGTGTGATTTGGGTGAAGCTTATTTACTGAAAGTGGAAGCTATTTTGGAATTGAGGTTCTGTAATATTAGTAGTTCAGGGTCTTCCTCTCTGCCTCTGCTTCTCTTCTTCCTCCCACCCACCATCCCTTCCTCCCTCCCTCCCTTTCGCCTCTGTCCCTCCCATCCTTCTTTCTCTTTGTATATTTCAGTATATTTGAACTACGAAAATATCTTTACCCTTGCTACATTTTTGCCTTCTTAGCCTGATTCAAATTCCAGTGCGGTTCCTGTCATCGGAGTGGATCTTCATCTCATCTTTATCTTCATCTCAAGGATGAAGGAGGCTGATTGAATGATGATGGGCCCCACCCTGCCTCCCTTTAGCAGTCGGCACCGGGTTAAATTACACATCTCTCTTTTTTGTTAGATTGTTGGCTGCGATCACCAGCTGGGAAGCACCATCAAAGAGGATAACTGTGGAGTCTGCAACGGAGATGGGTCCACCTGCAGGCTGGTCCGCGGGCAGTATAAATCCCAGCTCACCGCAACCAAACGTAAGACACTCCAGAGATGGGGCCATCTCTGGGCCTTCTGATTTGTCATAATCCCCTGGCTTAGCTCTCTGCAGCAATTAGGGAATGACATCTCCAACCAAATGAAGCCAAATATGAAAACCCTGTGGGAAGAGAGTTAGATTCTTTCTTTGTGGATTAGTTTAGGTAAGACAAGTCAGGTCACCCACTGCAATCCCACAGAGGAAACCTTTGCTTTAGAGGCATATTAGGAGGAAATTAGGCATATATCTTGATACATTCAACAAGAAAGCATGAGCTTTCCTATCCAGCATGAGGACAGGCTACATCCTGACCCCTCACTGATTCATAGTCTGGCAGAATAGCAGAGAGAGTGGGCAGATTAGAATAAATGCTCTCCTGCCACTGTGAAATCACATGGTCTTCATTGACAAAGTGACCTTGGATCAGTGCTGATCACACGTGTCTCCAGAATGGATATTAGACAGTGATTATGTGAAGCCAGTTATAGACTGTTGTGTCCTAATCTGTCTGTAGCAGCTGAATACATGTGTGCCTGCTATACGTGTATGTGCTGAGAACTTTACATGATCATCTCATTTAATCCTTATAACAACTTTGTAGCAAGGTACTGTTTATCCCCATGTTATGAATGAGATAACTGAGGCTTAGACAGATTACATGACTTGCTCAGAGTTCCACAGCTATGAAGTATCAGAGCCAAGATGTCAGCCCAGAGTCTGATTCCAGAGCTTAAGCACTTATTTGTTCCTCTTGATTGTCCAAAACTCTGCTGTTTCCAGAGCATTTGTAAAGCACTTAGATGGATCATGGTGAGGTACTTTAAGTGCCTGCCCAGCTGGGTCCTCCTAGGGTAGATGGTATATGTTCTCTAGATACTTGACCCAACAACAGACTTACCCAGCAAGCTAGATCATTTTACCATACATGATCCTCTGTGACTCACTGTTCTAGGCACTGCAGCAGATAGAGATAGAAATAAAACAACCCTTGTACTCAAGACTGTGCACTTGTTAACATTTATTTATTTTTAATTGAAGGTTGATTGATTTACCGTATTGTGTTGGTTCCTACCAAACATCAACATGAATCAGCCATAGGTTTATCCATGTCCTCTTGTCCCTGAACATTCCTCCCATCTCCCTCCCCACCCCACAATTTCTAGAATAACTTGACCTTTCTTGGCATATTTTCTCAATTTTGCCATTGTCTGGAATCCTCCAACAGATCCTTAATGAGGACTTCTTTGTACATGTCTCCTGTGATTTGGGAAACGAGAATGAATTTCTTTACTGACTATGGTTTTTCCTCTTTACTTGTTGACTAGTTGGAGGAAAACACTTGATGTATGGGGGTTTTGTGGCTTTAAACTACAAGGGACTTGTAGTTCCGGGAAAAAAAAAAAGAAAGCACTGTTTGCTGGAGAACTATTCCGAGAAGACAGGAAAAGGCAACTTACCCAAAGGACTAGGCTCTGGGGAAGAAGAGGAGGTGGGAAAAAAGACCAGGAACTTTTAAATGCATGAAACATCAGAGATGCCAGCTTAGGGAACTCTCTCCTTTCTAACACGCCTTAGGCAGTGAAAAATGTGATTCTGAAGAAAAAAAGAAAAAAGACCTGAGCAGAAAGAATGATGAAGGGCAGAGTAAGTTAGACATTGATGTAGTACATTCAGGTGAGATTTATTTTTCCTGTGGTCATGTGTTGGTTCTTCTATAAGATGAAAAATTAAACAATTTAGAAGATGAAAACCAGAGGAGGATAGAGGCATAATTCTTTCGTAAATCTCTGAAGTCATGGCGGGATATTTGCAGAAAAATAATTACATTTAAAAGGTACTTTGTGATTTTTTGAAGTATAGAATTTATTAAAACCCTACAGTATTTCTTATTGAAAAATAAAAATAAAAGGTTACTTTGATAGAGCTCTTCAAGGAATACTAAAGACTTGAAGTCTTTCTAATTATTGGTGTTATATAATTGAATCAGTGTTTATTATCTAAGAATCTAAGGACTTCCATTAGGCACAAAAAGAGATGACAGACATTCCTGCAGTGACTGCTGTAGGGTAACTCCTAGGGGCATGTCTTCATGATGAGAATCCTTGCTTTATTCCCTCTTCCTTTATTCCCTCACATCCCTCTGCCTTCCTGTCCTCATAGAAAAGCCTGCACACTCTGCTCAGGTAGATATTCCCCCTACCCTCCTGTTAAAGGGTGATCAGGGCCCTTTGGAGCCTGAATCACTGGAACTAAGTTGGAGAAGCCCTGAAAGGATGAACTGCAGCCAATTGAGAGCCATAAGTCATCTCTAGGTCTGCAGATAGATACCTCAGTGAACAGTGCTCTATTCAAACCAACAGTGGGTAAATCACATAAGACACAAGCCGATGATGATCCATAATGACCAAAGGCGATTGATTCATTTACCTTAGCACTGCCGATGCGTCATGACAAAATGATTTATATCAATAAAGCCCAGCCTATGCATGCACCTCACCACAATCTATAGCAGATGCTGAACAAGCTGCCTCGTTTATGTTTTCTCCACCCCCAGAAGAACCTTCCACCCTGTATTTACAGACTGTGAGATGACCCACAAGCAGGGGAGAGGAAACTGCTCTGCGGAGCCCAGTGTACCGGCCAGGGGAGCGGCTCTGCACCCGTGAGGCCTGGAGGAGTTCTGCAGGTCTCTCCCTACACTCTGCCAAAAGGCACTAAAAGCCAGCCACGCAATCTTTTCACACTCCTTATATCCATACTCCCCACATTGAATTCATTTTCTTCTGAACTTATATCCAGATTTTCCCCATATGTTATCAAACCTCAGGGGAATAAAGAAAAAAACAGGAGAGTGGAGAAAGACCATGGTGGAAAGTGCCAGAAGGAAAAGGGAAGTAGGAGAAGCTTATCAAGTGGCTGCCATTTGCTGATGAATAAAAAACAAACCATCTTTGTCATAAAAGACATTATTATTACCTAATACAAATGCAGAAAACAGATATAAGCTGGACCAAGGCACTCTTGCCCTCCTTTTGAAGGAAGAGGCTGTCTACTGAGAGCCTTCAGCCTTTCCATTTTTCCAGATCACTTTTTCCTACTTCTCCAACCCAATGAAAAAATTATCAAATTTAGCTTATATTAACTTACTTTCAATTTTTGAAATTAAAAACTCATTTTTTTCTCAAATTTTTTGAACTTTTTATTTTGTATTGAAGTATAGCTGATTAACAATGTGATAGTTTCAGGTGGACATCAGAGGGACTCAGCCATACATATACATGTATTCATTCTCCCGCAAACTTTCTCCCATCCAGGCTACCACATAACATTGAGCAGAGTTCCATGTGCTATATAGAACAACCTTGTTGGTTATCCATTTTAAACATAGCAGTGGGTACCTGTCCATACAATCAAAATATTACTGGCTTGTACTATATAGTGTATTCTCCATGTATACTCAGAATACACTTAGATCCAGAACCAGCCTGTTTGGTATCAATCTGATGTCTCCAGTTTTGCAGACCTCTCAAATGTATCTGCATGTTTGAAAATATCTTAGTATCTTAAAGTTCTGTATCTACCTTGAGTGGTGACAGCTAGGTAAACTAAATTATATCAAGATAAAATGAAGCTCCTAATACCTAACTTTCCCTCTCAGACTCTGCTTATGCTGATTTATAATGGCTATGAGTAAATATATTCTGGGGTTATCATGCTGGCTCAAAGATATTGAGATGAAGGATATTTATAATAAAAGACAGGCCTAATATTGTCAAGTAAAAAATACATATGAATTTTTTTAGAAAAAGCACAAAACTCTAAAGAAATTTAACTTTGTATCTGACTTCAGGCTATACTCACAAGCCACTCATTCATTCATTCAACAGCAATTCACTCATTCATTTATTCAGCACCAAATATTTCTTGGGTACCTGCTGTGTGCTGAGGAACTGTTACAGGTGCTGGAAACACAGGAAAGAGCAAAACAGACCAAAGTCTATTTTTCTCTTGGGGCTTACTTACTAGTGTTAGGGGCAGGCAAAGAGACTAAATGAATAAATTAATTAAATGTATATGTGTCATGTGGTGATACATAGAAAAAAGTAAAACAGAGAAGGAAAAAAAGGAGAACATAGAAAAGTCATAGAAAAAAGTGAAACAGTAGGAGAAGAGCTAGAGATAGGGATGGACTGGCAGCCAAAGGTACTGGAGGGAATTGCAATTTTGCATAGGTTAGTAAGAAAACATTCACTGATAAGATGGCATTTTGAGCAAGGATCTGAGGGAGATACAGATAGAGTACCATGCACAAGGAAGGGGAAGAAAATTCCAGGCATAGACAAAAGCATGTGCAAAGGTCCTGAGGTAGAGACATTCTTGACATATTTCTTGATGTGCAGAGAAGCTGATGTAACTGAAGTAAAGAGAGTTTAAAGAAGACTAGAGGAAAAGAAGAAGACAGGACAATGGTGAGGTGGGATGAAGAATGGCACAGATGTTGTAGGATTTTATAGGGACTTTGGCTCTTGGTCTGAATAAGATGAGAAGTTGCAGGAAGGTTTTGAGCAGAGTAGTGACTTCATTTGATTTATGTTTTAAAGTACCACTCTATACGGTCTGTTGAGAATAGACTATAGTGGGTCTAACTGTGGATATAATAAGAGCAAGAAGTCTGGTTGAGTATGAGGATGACATGGACCATGGTAGGTATCCCATGCTGGGTAAACTGCATTTCTTTGAGTCCAAGACACCAGTGATTGAAAGATGTGTCATTATTTTATGCACCATGAAGGGGGCAAAAAAAAAGCCTCTGTTGAAATTAAGGAACTATGACACAATGCCTTCTGACTACTTAGGGATTTTTGTTGTTCAGTTGCCCAGATGGGTCCAATTCTTTGCAACTCCATGGACTGCAGCATGCCAGGCTTCCCTGTCCTTCACAGTCCCTCCCAGAGTTTACTCAAACTCATATCTATTGAATCAGTGATGCCATCCAGC